TCATTAAACCCTTATTAGTTGGCGATTTTTCATGGTACAGTCTTGTAATTTCATACATCTATCTATGTATATAAAAATGAATCCATTTTAATTGGCTGGATATGATTTCACTAATTAGTAAGTGTGTTGTTGTATTTATTATTTTTTGAGAACAGCTTCTTAAGATGGAAAAATTCCTTAAAATCCTACCGGAACGGGAAAAAACGAGATTGCGCGTTTGTATAAAAATATTCGACCTGTTTCGTGTTTCGCATACTGAGGTTGTACTAGTAGATGGGAAACGTTTAAATAGCCAAAGTGTTTTTATGGCATTTCAATACCTAAGGGTGCGTCCACATTGGGCGAATGTTCCGCGTAAGCGCAGCTCGCAGCAGCCGTTTGTGAGCTGTACACGCACGATACATCACTGCAATAGTTTGCACCTCTTTAGTGCAACTAAAGCAAGGTATAAATAATTATTTTAAATGCACGCGTGCAGATTTGGCCGCTTGCAAATGGCTCGCGATCTACACATTCACGGAACATTCGCTAGATGTAGACAAACCCTTATATTCAGAAATATGATAAAACCATTATGAATATTTATTACAATGAATAATTAAGATTGAACAAACAAAGTCGTGCCTAAAAGTTAGTTCCTTGTTCCACAGTGATGTGTAACTTAACATTTAATAAATGTGTGCCATTTAGAAGGTATGATTTACCTTCTATTGCAAAATAGAAACTTTTTACTTTGAAAAATAAAGAAAAACAGAACATTACATCACGCTTTTTATCCTCGCAGGGATAGGCAGAGGTGCACATTATACCACTGTACAATGTAACACCAACTTTTCACTATTTATGGAGTCCCATGAAATAAGGGGTGAGCCTATTAAAGAAAAACTTTCCCATGTTAAACTAGTAGTAGTACTATTGTTTTACTTTTATTTTTTATAATTGGTCTTATTTTTATTGTAGTTTGTTGTTTTGTATATGTTATATCTTTTTTGTCTGTATTTTTTTGGGTTTTTTTTGGTGGTTATTGGCTGTTGTGTTTTTGGTAGATCGTGCACCAAAATAAATAAATTATCTTCTGTTTTTCTTAGAATCAATGCATTCTGGTTATCTTTTTACTATTGTGTAAAGACTAGAACTAATTTGTTGTGTTGATCCGAACTACTAGAGAATCTCGGGTGTGATTTCCTTGTGTGTTAAATATACAATTAAGATTTTTGGATTTCGAACATTTTTCATAACAGAATGGTGTCTTGGAGTTTTCTACATTGACATTATTTTGTTGATCTCGGATTGGATTTCTAGGTTAAGTTAATAATTATGGTCCTTTCTTCGGGAATTTATTTTCTATTACCAGGGAAATAATGTTTATTTAGTTTAAAACAAGAGCCTCACTAGTTACATGGTATTCACAATATAACTGATGGAAAGAGGAGTCCATTACCTCTTCTGTGATTAAAAGTCGTATGTACAAAAGTATTGTCATCATCATCATCAACTGTCTATAAATGTCCATTGCTGAGGAAAGCTTTTTCACACACGGAGAAGGTTTGAGCATTAATCACCACGCTTGCTTAATGCGGATTGGCCATTTGAAATTTATAATTAGAAATTATAAGCCCATGTTTCCTCGCTTTATTTTCCTTTAGCGTTTGTCAGTGGTGTCTGAATAATCTTAGAAAATACTTTAAACTCGGAAAGCGTCACATTGGTACTTGCCTAGCGTCATTTGGTAGGATCTCGAACCCGCACTCTCAAACATGAGAAGTAAACCTCCGGGTCACCACGTCCTAAAGTATTGTATTCCTCTTAATAAAGGAAAATTTGCGATTGTTTAAAATACCATCTCATCTGTAAATAACTTTGTTTTATTGTGAATTATAATAGGAGGTTCGGGGTGGGGGGGAAGGTCGTATATAAATTCATTCATATGAAATTCACATGACAGATTTCCGACGCCTCCCTGATAATGTATGTGAATAAATAAATAAGAATGATAAATCCTTTTATACGTCATCGCCATACAATTTAGGTCATGAGAAAATTATATCAGTGTAATAACTCAGAACATATATATTGTAGGTAATAATAGGTATAACATCATGGCTGTTCCTTGAAGGTTTGCTATAGGTGTATTTAAGTTACACTTACTTTTGACTAACTCACTAATTCATCATTGACTTGTAGACATCCAGTACTAAAAACAGCCCTAACTCGTAACATCACATCAACAGCCTATGAGTGGCCACTGCTGACCAAAGGCCTCTTCTCGCTCGAGAAGGTTTGATCATTAAACACCACATTTGCTCAATGCGAGTTGGCGATTCCAAATATAATTAGAAATTATAAGCCCAGTCCTCCATTTCCAGAATAACTCTTACAACACAGAATTTATGGCAA